AATTTCCGATTAGTAGCGTGTATTTTGGGCCTAGTGCCACTTTGGTTTCCAAACTTATGCTATAATTCAATACTCGAATTTTCAAAGTATGTCAATTTAGTACCTACTGTTAATCAACCGATAAATAGCACTTGAAAAGATATAAATGCTCTTCGAGCAACATCTAATTCTCTTTATCAACCATTTAAACATTGATAAAATGAAAGAGTCCTAAATCTCTGATTTCCTGTTCCTTTTATTCAATAATGTTGGGGTCACCAAAATGTCCACTTAGACGTGACTCCAACTTTCTTGAATATAAGAGGTAAGGATTTGGATTTTTTTTTTTTGTCAACGTTTGGATGGTTGATAAAAAGAATTAGATGGCACTTGAAGGACATTTGTGTCTTTTCAAATTTCACTTAATGGCTGATTAACGATGGGTACTGGATTGGCACGTTTTGAAAGTTTGGAAACTAAATTGTGGCATTTAGTACAAGGTACTAGTCGTAAATTTCCCCATTTTTTCCTTCATAAATTGATAACAATTGGAGAAAATTCCTGATTAGTACCCTGTAAATTAGGCCTAATGCCAATCTAGCACCCAACTTTAAAATAGTACCGGATCTTTTTGCAGCAATCCAATACCTAGGGTTAACTCATAGTCAGTTAGGACCATCTTGTAAGATCAGGTGCAGTGTACATAATATTCACACCATTTAACCCTTTTCCTTTCTTTTTACCCTATTAACCGACCATTCTTCATTCCAAACACGCCCAAGTGTTAAGCTTTCAATCAACTCCAACCATTTATTGACGAAGAAGGTGGTAAGCTTACCTCATTCCGTCCATTTCTCTTGAAATTGGGTTGAAGGATCAAGGAACGACATAGGAGAGGAGGAGAGTAGACTGACCGGCTGTTAATATTCATATCTCGTTGGAGTCAGACTACCCAGTAGTCCGGAGAACCACTCGTTGAGAGGGTCAGTTTTTCATTATTTAAATGTTGACACATTGTTCACCCAAGCCTGTGACTTGCCACGAACTCCGCACCACTGTTGCAAGGTTAGACACGCAAGGCTGTGATGAAATGTGTCGACTTTTAACCCTCTCTTCCTCTCCCTCTCATCATCCTCTCCCTTCCCGTTTGCAGTTCTAACAATAACAGTAGTCAGTTCTATCTTGGAATTCACACTTTCTGTGTATCAACCTCTACCTTGTTCTTTCTCAGAGAGTATCTGATCTTGCTTCTATACATAGAAGATGAGTAGTAATTTGGAAACTCGACCCCTCCTTGATGAGATCCGGGGTGCTTGTTCGATCTTGGCCATCCTCTTCTCAACTGTATTGCAGAGAGCTTTATCAAGGCAGCTGGGGTATTAATTTCCATCTCTCTCTCTCTCTCTCTCACAAGGGTACTGCATCTTTTTCAGATAGGAGCAGTTCAGGCATTCTCTGGGGAGGCATATTTCATCGCCATCGAAGGTACAATAGTTGATACTTGACTGTTGTATCTGCTTTAACAAAAGACTGCAGTTGTGAAGCTAAAAATGTGGGGATATTGGTCTTTGTTGTTCAAGAGCAGGGACAGATTCTAATGGTGCTCCGGTTATCACAGAGAGCAAGAAACAACGGTTGCCAGAGCTCAAAGGTAACTAATAAAAACAAGAAAATTTGCTTCAGCCTTCACCACAGCATCTGCATGCATCACGTACTCTTACATGGTTGTTGTTTGTATACATGCGTTGTGTGGTGGCCATTGTTGGTTTCTACTTGGATCTAATTGGGCGGGTGTAAATAGCTCCTTTTCCTTGGTTTTTCGTTGTTTTGCAGCAGAAACCAATAGAAGATCTCTGGAAGCAATGGTAAAGCTGAAATCCTGGTTAACGTTTTACTTTACCAATAGTCTAAATCTCATCCGATCGGATTTAATTTTTGTAAAATTTAACAAATTATTAAAAAGAAAAAAAAAACATAACCGTCTACTAAAGAAAAACAAAAAATATAAGCATTTTTTTCAATTATTTTTATCATATATACATGTTTTTTAATAAAAAATAAATAATATAAAAATTACAAAAATGTAATATAAACATATTTATAAATAAATAAAGGGTTTGCCCCTAATATCAATAAAAATAACAAATTTCATATAATAACCAGAATGAGAAAGCTTTTTTGAAAAAATATCAAATAAGGGCATTGGGTATCGTTGCTTGTCTTCCTCCTCTGTATTCGGGTGGCTTCTTTGTTAACGTTTGCCGTTGATAACTCTAAGTCGAGTGACGACCTCTTGGCCAGACCAGGACCTTCAATCCACCGGCCATGTGTGCCGTCAAGAGCGGAACAAAAGCAGGCTCCTCCAATCCAACTGATTTGAACTTGAACTGCTTCATCAGCAAATCCATCATGTACTTCATCTGAACAAAAGCCATCTCCTTCCCTAGGCACACCCTAGGTCTGGATTGAAACACTGGGAACTTGAGGCGCCGCTTGGACCCAAGATACAACATTCGTTTAATCTTCTAGATGGCGAATATGAGAGCAGATGCACGTCTGGCGCTTATCTCAGAGGCTATGTCGAAAGCTCCGGCCAGAACTTATACGGGAAGCAAAGAATCCAAGCAACTAGGATTGATTCCCAGCGACACCATGCACACTGTGTCAAAGGTGAACCTCCTTAACAAGTCCTGTAGGTCTACTACTTGGCCGGTTTTCATTGTAGACGCAAGTACCGGCGTCAAGCGATCTTTCACTACTTCCTCCAACGTCTTTCCGATGAACTCCTGTAGTGACTTGGTGCTGAACTCATGGCTTGCTAACTTATGTTGGGTGCGCTAGAGTTCCCCGTCCATGTTGAATATACCGCAGCCGAGCAAGTCTCCCAGGATGTCGGTGAAGGGTTCGCCGTGACGACTGTCCGTCTTGCACCAAAACGGCGTACCATGATTGTCTGCGTCGGGGACTCTGCAAGGAGGTCCGTGGACCAGTCTAACAGATGGCAATGGTTCTTGTAGAAGGAGATAAGCACCCAATTAGAGGGTAGGTTGGTAGGTCATCGCCGGAGGACTTTCATAGTACCCAATGAATACCAAAGTAGAGGAAGACGAGTAACAGTGCCCACTGCCCTTATTTGATATTTTCCCAAAAAACTATCTCGTTTTGATTATTATATAAAAATATTACTTTTTATTGATATTAAGGGCAAAAAGTTGCCCTTATCTACTAGGGTGTGACCAGAATTCCATTTGATATTTAATCAGATCCTATTGTCGAAATAAGATTGGATTCCAATTTGGATCAGATGATGATGATCCAAACTATTTGCACCCCTAACAACCACCACCCATCTCTTGCATTTTAATTTTAATTTCACCACATGTACTAGGAGTGCAACTCAAGTTGGCCCAAATTAACAGTTTAGACTGTATCAGATTCATTAAAATTTTGATAAAATCCCAACCCTAACCTGTTAAATTGCACCCCTAATATTTACATACAAAGTACAAAGTTTTTCACTTTACATATTTATATTTATACTCCTTTCAAACTGAGCCCAAGAACTTACACCAAATAAAAAAAAACACTGAAACAGTCCACATAATGGTTTGTGTCCATTGTGAATGAATAGCACAGTTCATGATTTTTACAGTTTATGCAACAGTTAACTGGTTAAAAGCATTGAAACAGTCCAAATTAAGAAACACTGACCTTTCCCTCTCTCTCTCTCTCTGATCACCAGCAAGATACTGTTTCACTACCATAATAATTGAATCACTTCCATTACATCACAAATATGTAAAAGGGAGCCAGAAGAGCCAAAAAGAGCCAAAAAGTGTGGTTCTCTTACAAAAACCAAATTAAATAACACAAAAGTTGAAGATATTTCTTTACTAAATGAAGTATATCACCTTTGAATGTCAATTACACCCTTTATTTTTTGGTAAAGAACTACACTCTAGTTAATTTATAATACTCAGTTATAATCTTAATAAAAATGACAGTAAAATAGTAAACTGTTAGATGTTGATAAAATAAAGTGTTTTTTAATCAAGATTATATATATATATATATATACTATTGGTTCGGCCTTAATTGGTTCAAATAATAAGAACCAATCCCAATCCACTTATTTATTAATCAGGACACAAACCATATAACCAAAATCGACATAATTGGTTTTGTTGATTTATCTTTATCGGATACATCCAACCAATTGACAGCTCTACTTTGGGGAGTAAGAGTTTTTTGTTTTTTTTTTCCCAAAATCAAAGATTATACATTAAACAAAAAATAAAATAAAATAAAGAAGCAACAACCAGTCCCACGTAAAAAAGACAACCTACCAAAACATGAAATTTTTGGGCCTCATTGGGCTCCACAACAACAGGGTAGCCCATCCCCTAATACCCGTAGCCCCCGGTCCCCCACCCCCAACGGCCCAACCCGGGGGAAGGCGGGAATCGATCCAAGTCAAATACCTTACTAACTTGCCAGTTGGCAGTTGGCACCTTCTGGTCATTATTCATTAACTTGTTTATGATATCGCGATCCAAATCAAATACCTTACTAACTTGCCAGTTGGCAATTGGCACCCTCTGATCATTAGCTTGTTTGTGATATCGCCATAGACATATCCATTGAGATGTTGATGAATGATGATAGTCAATTATCTATCTAATATATGCAAAATGTCGTCGCAAAATATTTATCCGATGCCCCAACTCGTCGACTCATGCCTTCTCTCTCCGGTGTAAAGTTGTAAACTTGACAGGGGTCTCCTCTCTTCTGCACATAACTCTCAGATCAATGAATAGGTTCTTCAACATTCTTTTATTTTTTATTATTTATTAATTTCTTTTGCTGCTAGTGCAGTGCTAGTGCCAGATCCCCTATCCCTTACTCTCTCCCCCATGGAAATCACTGCAATATAAATTAAAACTATAGTTGCTTCTGTTTTAATTTTCGCGCCATGATTGCTCTTCGGCATTCATTTCTACAAACTTCAGATCCTCTGCGACCCAGAAGCCTTACTCCTTTACCTTCAAACGCTGATGTCCTCTAAGAAAATGTTAGTCTTGCTATGGTTATGAAGCGAATCTTAGCGACATGCCTTCGCCTTCCAAGTCGTTTTATCTCCGCCCAACGGGGCTCTTTTATGCTCGGAGATCCTCGATTTTGGTCTTCTGCCTTCTTATTGGAGTCACTGGCTTTGCTTTTGGATTGGTCGCCATTCTGAAGCCCACTTCTGGGTATAAATGTAGGAATGGTGAAGCTAGATCTGTTTCTGTTGTTTGGGAGAGAAGGAACGATGTTGGCGATCAGAACCATGTTGATTCTGATGGAGATCAGAAGAGATATAAGGTGATGGGGTTTGTGGGAATTCAGACTGGTTTTGGATCCGTTGGAAGGCGAAGGTCGTTGAGGAAGACTTGGATGCCTGCTGATAAGCAAGGGCTTAAACGGTAACTCCTTAAGCTATACCTAGTAAATTTTGATTTCTTTGTTAAGATATGAGAATGCTTGTTCTCTTGTTTTGATTTACTCCATAATTGAATTGAGAAAGTAGAAATTTTGCAAGAAGTCGTTCCAATTCTCGGGAGAAGGAGGACATAGCCAAGTAGTAATCACAGGGTATCTACAGCTGATGAAAGTCCTGCTATCTTCTGAATACATTTTATGTGGAGAACTTGTTAGCATTAGTCGCTCAGGAATTAGTTCTCTTGAGTTCTGTAACTGGTGTGATTTGCTCTAGTTTATACAAAATTTTTTTATTATTATTAGAAAGACGTATGATCTCAAGAAAATTGTAGCTATAGTCTAATAATTTCTTTTCTTGTTTTCTCCCTTTTGAATTGTACCAATTCTTTGCAGTTTGGAAGAATCTACTGGATTGGCCTTTCGTTTTGTCATAGGGAGAACAAATGATCAATCAAAGATGTCTGAGCTCAGAAAAGAGGTCGCAGAGTATGATGATTTCATGCTCTTAGATATTGAGGAGAAATACAGCAAGCTTCCTTACAAAACGTTCGTATCAAAAATAGATTAAATAAACTAAGTTCGTTATGTTTTTCCCCTTTCCTTCCTTATTTTTGGCACACAACTCATATATAGTATCTCTGGTACAGGTTAGCTTTCTTTAAAGCTGCTTATGCACTTTTTGACTCTGAATTCTATGTTAAAGCTGATGATGATATATATTTGAGACCAGGTGGCATGCTTGGAAGCTTACTTTATCTTATTGTCATCATGTTCTCCATTCTCTCCAGCATTTGTAAATTCATGGCCTGATGTCTTTGATAACCAGATCGCCTTTCACTACTCTTGGCAAAGGAGCGTTCTCACCCTCAGACTTACCTTGGTTGCATGAAGAAGGGCCCAGTATTCACTGACCCCAACCTCAAATGGTTTGTTGTACTGTTATACTTCTTTAAAGTAAAAAAAAAAGAAAAAAAAGAAAAAAAAAAAAGAAAACTGTGACTTTTGATCAGTTAGACAGTTACATTTAAAAATCCCTGGTTTTTGTGCTTTTAGTCCTTTTAACAATGTAATGTTTGGATCATTTGCGTTTTTGCAGGTATGAGCCTCTATCTTATTTGCTAGGAAAGGAGTACTTTCTCCATGCTTATGGTCCTATATATGCTCTTTCTGCAGATGTGGTAGCAAGCTTATCTGCTTTAAGAAATAACAGGCAAGGGTCTTCTTCAATGCATTGGAACATTATTTGTAATCATTTTTCCTTTTATCTATTCCCTTATTCTTGAAAACAAATATTGCTACATTTATTTGTGGTTGTCATATGTGGCATTTCTTTATCAAATTCAATTAACATATTATGTACTTGATTTTTGTTATGAAAAAAAAAATCCACTGCATTTTCACTCTATTAATAATTTGGTTTTTTGTTAAACCTTGATAAGGTTTTTGTGAATTATGGATATTGTTATCGTGGATGATATAATACATCCTACAATAGGGTTAAATCCTTTCAGTACTGTTATCACACTTACGTCTTATTCCTACAAGGACTTTAGATACTAAAGCTTGGATTCAAACAGAAAAGTATGTATTTAGAAATTTTTTTACCAAGTTTTCTCTCTGGGAGTTGCAATTGCATGAATTGAATCATGTGGATTGCCTCAACTAGTGCCCTTTACTTGAAAATTACAGATTTCTACTATAGACATAAAAAAGAATGGTAACAGGGCACTGTAGATAGAAAATGTTCATAGGCCTAATAATCAATTCATTTTTAGTTCCATTATAGGAAGAGAGTTCTTCAATGCCAATCAAAGAAGTGAGTTCATTTCCCAGATTTTTGGCCATCATGTGCATTATTGTGGTTTGTAAATCTAGTATATTCTGAGGAAGCAAATCCAAATGTATAGCTTAGTTCACAGTTGGTATGACTATTTTATAACTTCAATTTTCCATCTATTCTGAGTTTCTGACAGAACCTATTACTATTAAGAGCTATGAGTGTAGTTATATTGCTCCTATGCTAACTAGCAGGTTTGAGACTATCTATTTATCTTGTATCCTATAAGTTTCTCATGGCAAGACAAACAAAAAAACATGTGTCTTTTATTTATCCCTTTATAACTTAAAATATCATTTTAAGTTATTACATTAGTATATGGAGCGTAGTGAAGTCCTGTTTATATGCTTTTGCTATTCCTGAAGGTTTTTTATATAACTTGTACTGTTTCTCTTCCTTCTCTTTCCTTTCTCGTTAAAATTTCTTCAATTATTGATAAAAAATCCTCTTTTGACACTATATGTCTGTAACTCTGTATCCATTTTAATCTTTCATTACTTCATTAATTTTTCTACAATTTGAGTTGATTTTTGTTTAAATAGATGGGGTAATGTGAGGATTAAATTCCTGAGACAAAGATAAACATTTAATTCATGATGCCTTGTGTCATGCCTTTGCAATTTTGAACAGTATTACGCAACCTGTGTCTATGAAATAGTAAATCTTTAGTATTAATTCCAACGTTGTAGAAGTTGTGTATATTTTCATTTTTCTAATTGTAAAAGTACATCCTCCTGAATGAAAATGCTAAGTTATTGTCCATTTTCATTTCCTCTTTTCAGTAAACATCAGAACATTGAGGAGCAAATTCATAGTAAATATTTTATACAATTATATTCTAGAAAGGTAAGCTGTTTCTTCAGCATACCATTCCCTCATGTCTTGCTGAATACAAGTTCACAAATGAACTACAATGGAAACTCTTGACTTTTGGGAATATATGCATGGCCAATGTTGTATCGTGTTGAGAACTGCAAAGTCCATATTATTGCCATGAATTTAGTCTACAGATCCGGAAGAGAAAAACAGTGGCAGGCCATACTTGTATATCCCTATCTGTATTTTCAGTAATAGTGATGGGTCAACTGGGAGTTCTGGCTCAAGTAGAAAATGGAGCCTAACAAACTGGAAACACAGAAAAAAAAAAGTATAAATGGACAATAGGTGAGTTGACTGTTGGTCAAAATTTGATCTCTAGTTCTCTGGGTAAAACATCTCTTGAAAAGAAATGATTAAGTTTCTGACCTGCATGCAATATCTTATATCGTTTTATATCTCTACCTTCTATGAACTAGTGCATTTTGTTTGTGGAATTACAGTTTCCGAATGTTCAGCAATGAGGATGTTACAATTGGTGCATGGATGCTTGCAATGAATGTCAACCATGAGCACAATCAAGCATTATGTGAAACAAAATGCACACTATCATCCATTGCTGTGTGGGATATTCCCACATGTTCAGGTTGGTGTTTATGATAATTCTGTTTCTCAGAGGTTGAGATCTCTTAGGGGTTATTTGATAACAGCTGAAGTGGCTGAACTAAATGACATTTGCTTTGTTTTAGTGCTAAAAGACAAAGCAACAAGTTATTCGGTCCAACTCTTAGAGTTAGGGGTGTAAAAGGAGTGAATTCAAAGCGGATCAAATTATATTTGAATACAAATCTGATTGGGGAAGTGGTGATTCAAATTCAACCAATTAACTCAAATCTCTGAATCTGAATTGGATTTGATCGAATTGCTTTTCCATCATACCCCTTATCATATAAAGAAATAACTTGTAATATATTTCTTTTAGAGAAAATAAAGGGTAATTGGATAGATTCATATATGTATATTAATGCTGAATTTGATTTGGATATTTATTGGATTGAATTAGGCTATATCTTAATTTGACGGATAACCATATTTGAACTATTCCAAATTTGACACAATTATGGCAAACCTCAAATATGAAATTAAACTTGTGGATACCACTTATGCCTCAATTTAGAGTGGTTTACTTGTCTTAATTATTTATGCCAAATGACTTGCTGAACCCATGATGGGGTAGTTAGTGGATCGGTAGGCAAAGATGACTATAAAACTCAGTTGTGGAGGTTCAGGATACAACTATACAGAAATTACCTACTTGGCAAGTGTCTCCTCCAGATTCCTCAATCTGTCCAGTTGATTCCACCAGTTTGGCCACTTAAGAGATCATAAATCATAGAGAAATCTAGAATAGAATAAAAAGTTCTCATGGAGATCATTTTATAATCTGATACAGATTAAATCATTTCCAAATATCTAGTTCGGATATCTGCATAAACTATCTAAATGAACTGAATGTGTTGTCAAGTAGGTGTTTGGCATCGGTGCTGGGAACTTCGCACCATTTTCTTATAAAAACGGTGCTGGGCATATGGAGTTGTAAGCACTTAATTTTTGTTTGGAACCGGTGCTGCCACATAGGCGTTTTCTGAGAAAACAGCACTGATGGTTTTGTTTGGTACCAGTGCTGGCAGCAATGTTTTCAATATTGATATATATTATCCAACATCCAAAATGATGCCACATAATTGCACCACTGGCAGCAGCGCGCCGTTTTTTTCAGTAGACATTGAATTTGGCGTTGCTTCAGACCACACTTACCCGATTTCAAAGGCGTGGTCTGGAGTAACATTTTTTCTGGAAAAACGGTACCAAACAAGAGGGCACTGTTTGAAGCACCGCTTTCTCTGGTGTGGTGGCTACATGGTGCCGTTATCTCAGAAAACGGCATCGATGCCAAACATCACTTAAGTGAAGAGTGTTAACAAGGATGCTTTTAGCAGGAATCCTTTTTTATTTTTTACTGCCTGATGGGATTAATTGAGCATAATTATAGTTCATTTCATTCATACTTGGACAGTCACCAGTCTTTTAACAGCATTTTTATCATACAGGGCTCTGCAATCCAGAAAAGAAGTTACTAGAACTTCATGAAATGGCGAGCTGCTCAAAAAGTCCAACGCTAGATTCCAACAAGTAGCCTCTTTACTCCTACTACTGGTAAAACTAGAGCAGATTATTCTGCAAACTGCAGAATCACTTGATTTACCTTTATACATGATTTGCTACATCGAAATTGCAAGTTCTAGCTTTATGTTTACTTCATTTTTCTCTTTTTATTTATTTTTTGGGGAGTGGGGATGGGAGGAAGGCTGATGAAATTGACTGAAAATGCAGCATTTTACAGCATAATGATAGCCTCTTCTTCGAGCTGTGGAATTCTTAAGAATATGAAGACTTGGAAATGTCTGATGAAACATGTGTATCATACCCATCTACATGCTTATTGGAGAAAACATTGCTGCTTACTCCTATGTTCTTGCAATCTAGAGAAATGATGCAAACTGCAAAGTGCATGGATTAATAGGCTGTTGGCAAAAGGGATGGTACTACACACTTTTGGCTGCATAACTGGGTATTGGGAATTGGGTTGCCTCTCTGCTAACCAGTCAATCCGGATTTAGGTCTAAGAACTAATCTATATATAGAACAAAGAGGCACAGAATACATTGGCCCAGCCACCAGAAATTGATTGACGAGAGTTTTATCATCTATGGTGATTCGGGCACTAAGCCACTAAGAACATGGAACACTCAGTATTATCATAAAACTCAAATCACATTTTGTGGCTTTTCATTGGGAGGACCATGTTCACTGTTCAGTAACACATGGATGTTGCTAAACATATGTTAAGAGAGTAGAATTTTGTGCATTTAAAATCAAATTAATGGTGTTAATGCAACTCACCAATTCATCAATTTTGTTTCAGTAATATCACAAATTATCATCTTCCACAAAATTCCAAAAATAGAATAAAAGAAGCTAGTAGTAATGTAGTATCTAGAGTACCAGAAAAGGAAGCCTAAATCTAGAACGAAGCTGAATATTATTAGAAGGGAACTGAATTTGGTGGTGTTGGGCAGATCGAGCCAAGAAAATGGTTCCCTGTGGGCCATTCGAGAGAGTGAACATGCTGCCTCTTTGACACCATAATCCCATTTCTTAAAATTAGTTGTTTTTGGTCTGAAAGAAAAGTAGGGAAACCTATACAAATCATACACAGCCTAAATTGCCCGACTGGGTAATAGCTTCAAGCTCTATTACTCTCCTGAATGATCTGTGAAACCTCGGTTCTGTTTCCCACGGATTGGACAGCGATGATCAGGTATATAATATTCAGAGTTCGGCTTCAGTCAGGGCAAATCTGTACCCACATCATTTTAATAGTCTTTTGCAACTTTGCAATGGGAATATCTCCCTATAAAATAAAGCACACAAGTACAGAGATTCTCAAAGCAAGGCACTGAAGCTGCCCGAATAGGCTTTGCCATGACTGAAGCCGAACTCTAATATTCAGGGGCTCAAATTAAATAAAGCTTGTCCAATCTTTTCAAATTGCTAGGCGTAATCGAAATTTTGAATTTTGAGGACAGAACGAGGTTAGCACTTAACCGGAGATCCAGAACAGAGCATAAGCGACACCATTGCATCCCCATTTCTCCCCAACCTTAAACAGGAACGCAACACCACATTATGTAAAAAAAATAATAATTTCAACACAATAATTGATGCTCTTGTTTTTTTTTTTTTCTTTTTGCAAAAAAGAAAGAAGCAGCCTGCATTAAGAAATAGAAAACTGTACAGAGGTTCTGAAGACAAGAGACATTAGTCTATAATTTTGGCCAGTGTAGCCGTTCAATCCAATGTTTGGCCTTCAAGCCATTCTACAAAAAATTAACTAGTTGGAGAGAGTCGCAAAATATCTTGATGCTTTGATACCCAATCTTGTGGCTGCTTCTAAACCTTCGATCAAGGCTTGCATTTCAGCTTCATAACTGTTTGACGGCCTAACCTGAGTTTCCTCCTGCAGCAATGGTTCCTTCATTGAGAATTTTGATAATGAAACTTCTTTCTGTACGTCCTGTCGTCCTGAAGTCAAGTCATAAGACCCATCAATGATTAGTTGAAATTTTCCATTGTCATGCCTATAATTGATTATGATATTGGGCTGAGATTCTGTTGAGAGTTGTTGATAATATATTTTGGCTTTATTTATGATGTCTGATGGGTTGGGGTGCAAGTTATGAAATATAACCTTGTTTCGGAGATCGGATCTGCTCCTCACACGGGCGCCTCACAGGCATATCCCACCGTGCATTGGAAACATTTCCCGTGAATAATAACTTATAAGTGCGGGAGATGTTCTCAATGCATGGTAGGATGTGCGTGTGAGGTCGGTGTGAGGCACCCTGTGTGAGGAACAGATCCGGTCTCCTTGTTTGTTGTGCAGGTAGACTTATAAAGCCACTCCTGTAAGAAGCATCGGCTTCACCAGTGTGTCACTTATAGGTAATCCCATGTGTGGTTCGAACCAAATTGCTCTTGAAAAGGGGCATAGAAAGAACAGATGGTGGACTGATTCTGCATTTTGTTTATAGAATATACATAAAAGACTAGAAGTATAAAACATCTTTACTCAGCCACTTTGGGCATTTCTCCTTGTAAGAAGCCCATACCAGAGAATCTTCCAAGTTAGTAATTGGCATCGGTATGGGATTTTTTCCATAGACTTGACCATTTAAAATGAGAGGTAGATGGGGATGGATTAGTAGCCGAGAAAGTTTTATAGGCTGATTTAAAAGTATAACCACTATTATTCTTTTCCAAAATCAGCTGATCCTTCTCAAGGCTCCTGTTTGGTGTAATGTTTACAATCTGATTTAGTGTAGTTTGGTCCAACAGATTTTGTAGTAGACTCCTTTTCCAAGATGTATCAGACAGCAAACAAACTTGCCAGCGATATATTATTATAATGAAAAGGGGCTGACTGAATCAAATGCGGAACACCCTCTGATGTTGATGGAACCAGGGGTCGTGGAATGCTGAAGGTCTGAAACTAAAGATCAATCTTTTATTTAGTTATGATATAAACAGAACCGTTAACGAAAGCATCTGACACCACAAATAGCGACAACTGACGAGTTCTACACCAAAGCCGAGAAAAAAAAATACACAAGAACCATCCATCTCCAAATATGTGAAGAGAACGAGCCTTTACAAGCTTAGGAATTAAAAATATGCTTTCGTTATATAATAGAGTGATAATAGATGGAGCAAAAATATCTTTTAATTGAACCCTCAAGTTCACATAACTCACCGGAAAGCATTACAACTTACAGAGCACTCACTAAAAGAAAGGAGAGATACAAATAGACACACTCGCTTCTCCACCCAACAAAGCATCTCGGAACAAAAGGAATGTTTCTGGTAGTTCATCTCAAGTTCAGTTGCCAGATTGGCGCAGCTCTGGCCGAACGAAATCCGCATCAGGGGGCACCGATATGTCAACAGTAGGCCTTAGCTGTGCACATACTTCAATAGCTCCGTGCACAGGGTCAGACAGGAAGTTGCTAATCAGGTCCTGGTTGACTGGAGTTCCCTTGTCCACAGCCACTAAAGCCTGTTGGGTGAGAATATAATCAAAGCGTGGGGCCCATTTCCTAGATCCCAATCTTGCAGTTGTGGAGCAGTTGTCAACCATGAATGCAACTCCTCGTGCATGCATGAAGGGGTTCAAAGAATCAACTGATTCAATCACACTTTCATTGATGATCTCTGAGTAGGAGTGACCCTTCTTCCTCAACACCTCAATCTGGTGTTTGTAGCATATAATAAACAAAAATGTCAACTTAAACACACATTTTGGTATGGATCATTCTACCACAGTAAGTGGGGGGATCCCTTACCTGAGCCATCATTAATGCTACATAGACACCAGCCGTGAAAGGATGCAACGGACCAAAGTCACCTTCTGGCCTTGTCGACCGGACTCGCTCACCAACTTTCCACATCCGTGTCTGATCAATCTTACCCATTGGGAATGCTGGAAGACCCTCCTTTTCCTGTTAAGATGGGTACAATCTGAATCACTTCCCAACCCAGCTTATTTCATTTGGCACTAAATCAAAGGATCATAAAGCTTGAAGGTGATACAAGATATAATTAACTTGATCAAGTCATCACATTTTAAGAAATTAAAACATTAAAAGGATAAATTACATGGTGGGAACGGATGAAGTAATGAACATACATAAAAGCGACGCCCAGCCAAGACAACACTCCGTATCTCACTCCCACTGGCCACATCCTCATAGCACTCATACAGGATATCCATACAAGGATAATATGAAGCACTATACGCAGCCTCAAATTCCTTTTTGCCATCCTCTGACAAAGCATTGTAGACAGCCAGCATGCCCTACCAAAATGAAAACAAAAAGGAAGTTCCGTTTAGGGAAAAAAAATATAAAAAAAGAGTGGGACTGGTAACTGGAATATGCAATTCTAAAACAACCTTCGTGGAGATGGTCTTTGAAATAATTCCTGTGATGCACTCAACAGTGTTGTTGTAAGCGAGATCTTCTTTCATACCATTCTCAGTGTACCTTCTAAACAAGGATTCCACGATGCCATGAACAGCACCAAGTAAAATGCCTACATATCAGAGTTAGAAGATTTAATAATACTCAGTTACTCACTGAAACAAGATAATAAATACTGTTAATAAGACCATGATCAAAATGTCTGTGCCATTAAGATAGTGCTGGACTCACCACGCTCCCCAAAAATGTCACTCTTGTATTCCTGTTCTAATGTAGTTGCAAACGTAAATGGTGAGCCAAGGGCAACTGACCACCCAAGGGCAACATCCGTGGCTCTACCGTCGACATCCTGAACAGGGAAATGTTAAAATACTCTACATTGAAAGTCCAAATCTCTTCAACAAAGATTTGGTTCCCCAAATTTCATCTGATAGAGAGTTTACCATAACTTTTTCTTTGAAGCATAAAATGGACAGTAGTAGACGAATACCTGGTGTACAGCAAAGCTAGAATTGATTCCAGCGCCATTTATCTCTTTGCCTTGGACATAGAGTCTCCTTACAGAGGGTCCCATTCCCTTTGGGCATACAGCAATAACACTGATGTTCTTAGGGAAATCAAGCCCTAATGACTGCAAATGTCCAAGAAGAAATCCATGGGAAAGGCCAAGAATGCTGTTTGGCTTCATGTGGGAGAATATCTTCTCAAAATTATCTGCCTGCAACCAAAGGACGCAGTCATGTAACAACCATAAGCAATAAAAGTTGTTCAGAGGTCAAGCTTCAAAATATGTAGGTACAACACATACAACTAAATATGAAGGCAGACACACATATATATACATCTGCTATATGTTAAAAACATATAGAGGCCTATTTTAACATAATATAAGTAACTAAGTTTTACATGTGTGTAAATATAAATATGTATAGTTTTCATTTTTAATTTTCAAAACTTGGGAAATCCAAACAGTCTGCCGGACTGCCACAATGCCATGGATTACTCATATGGAATGCTTTATAGAATGTTTAACCAATGATGGTAAATGAGTAAATTGACAAGTCGTTATTTTGTTTTTGTTTTCTCTTCGGTTTTCTTTTCTTTATAAAGAGAAAAGCTTCCACCTTAGAAGGAAAAGTATAAAACAAAATCTAGAATCAATTACAATGCTCTTAATCAAGATAATGTGGCTTCTTATTTGGGAGCATTGGTGGTGTAGAATTTGCTAACCTGTGCTGCATCAGAAATCAATAATAACACAAGATCACTTTCAGAAATGGTTTCCCATATATCACCTAAGGTACCACTCTCTTCAGTAAAACCTGCCGCACGGGCCTCCTCAAAAGAACGTGAGCCCTTTCGTAGTCCAATCTGTGAAAATAACAACATAACTAAGTTTCAAGAATGGCATTGATCCAATAAAAAATGCTAATGCAAGAAATTTTTTAGAACAAACAGATAAACTACCTTGACCACAATATTGGACTTTGCTACTGCAAGAGAATCCCTCAAGTTCTGAGCTTGGGCAGGACCCTACATGGAATATAAAGGAACAATAATTGATTATTATGTCTGCAAAAGTTAATGAATAGCTCCTAAATGGAAAACTACAGAAAAGAAAACATGGATCAACAATCAAATACTGCAAAAAAGAGGCAAGGTAATATATGTTGAAGTGCAGCACAAGTAGTTGGTAAAACGGATGAATGCTCTGACACAGGCATAAAGTTAATCAGCAGTCAATAGAAAGAATAATTTCTCTATACAGCTATTACACAGTATCTTGCCAAAAGAAGGACAAGTACAAAGCAGAAAGGAGATGAGTTCAGACATATTAATGAATAATATTATACCCAAAAGAACAATCACTACAGTACAAGCCAGGCTACAATTAGATCACTACATACATAGATAGTCTTTCCATTTGGAACCGCAAAACGTATCACCTCAGAAACATTATGAAATATCAATATAATTATAGCCAAAAGAAGGAAAAGGAACCAAAGGAACATCACCAATAACAAGCACAAACACGAACTTCTTTTATACAAGAATCAAGAAAACAAAATTCACCTGAGACCCCCATCCAATGACGCCAATCTGCTTAATCCCTTTGAAGGCATCTGGCAGCAAAGGGAACAAATCTCTCCCACCTCTCACAATATACTGCAATAACCAACGACAAATATAAATACAAAGATCCTAATTGAAGGTGGGAAAAGCTAAGAGAAACATAAACAGGAAAAATGAGTGGCTTTACCTCGTCATGACCAGCAAGAGAGATTTTTTCCTTCTTAAACACAGCGGTTTCGAAATCGAGCGAGATCGTGGGCTTCATTGCAGGTGCGGAAACCATGCAAGCTCCAAGAGCAGAACCCCGGGTCGAAGTGGCAATGCTCGTCAAGACACGAGAAAGAAGAGGTTTCACGGTTTTAGAAGAGGATGAGAGAAAGCCCAGCCTCAAACCTAGGGTTTTGGCAACTGGTTTTAGGGTTTTAGATGAAGAAGAAGAAGCAGCAGCAGCAGAAGATACAGATGGGGAGAAGGAAGCGGCCGCCATTTGTGACTAATCCAAACCTCGCACAACACAAGTGATCGAAGTAGCAGCTTTGTAGTTTATATAGGTAGAAGCGGGGAAACTAGTATATCTCCTCAGTCCTCTCTGCCTCTTGACAGAATACTATTTTGTATTTTCCCTAACAAAATCCCTCTGAATCTATTTTATACACAGATGCGCAGTGCGCATCCCCACGTCTCTTACAGTCTTACCTTCTTCCAATGGCGAACCTGCTCGTGGCCTCATCACTCATGAGAGATGACACAAAAGATAAGGGGCCATGACCTCAAGTGTGGTTTATAGGAAAAGACAACCCAACACTTAAAACATGATATTTGACTGGACCTGGCATTGGTTGGGTGGGTCTAGGTGGCCACGAGCTAAGCTATTCACCAGTTCGGTTCGTGAAAAATTGGTTTTGTTTGGTTTTAATCGAGTTTTGAGTCGATCTTGAATATATATATATATATATAATAAAATTATAAAAAATAATATATATAATAAATGTATTATAATTCTTAATTTTTTAAATATTAAATAAAAAAAATTATAAATAAATTTTTTTAATTTTTACAAAACATTTTTTTTTGAAATTGAGCTTGAACTTATAAGTTTTTTACTCGAGCCAAGCTCAAGCTCAATGTTCTAGCTCGAACCGAGCTCGAGCCTAGTACAATAGTGGCGAGCTGAGCTTGAGCCTCATACTATTTGGCTCGACTCAATTCGAATCCACCCTTAGGTGGGTCAGGTTCGGGTTGGGTCATGATACTTTGGTTTGATTCGGGTTGGGATGTCAAATTTTAGCCCTAACCCTAAATGTTCAGATTAGGGTTGACCCATAAATCAATTCAAGTCATCCCAAAAAATAATTGAAATTTAAAAATACATGAAAATGCCCAAATTAAAGGAATTAACCTTAAATTTTCAAAAATAAAATAAAAAACTTGAACATTTAACCATTCAAAGAGTAAACAATAAAGAATAAAGACTAAATAAAAAAAATTAAAGAATGAAAGCTTACAACAATACATAAATAGTCCCAATTAGACTTGAGAATCGAGTCTGGGGATTGACCCATGACCCAACCCAACCCATTTTTTCGAGTCGGGCCAGGTTATTCTCAAATTCAAGTAGTTAATAATGAGACCCTAACCCTATTTTTTCGGGTTGGCTCAACTTTTTGGCATGTTTATATTTGATTCATTATTTATACTTTATAGTTTACTAGTAAAAGTGTACGCGTGTTGCACACGGCAATATCAAATGATGATGATGATAGTCAGCAACCAAATGACTTTACTAGTTGAACCATTAAGCTATTTAACAAGAAAAATGGACTATGATTAACATATTAATTCATTTTTTTTCTTTGTATTTTAGCCATTTCTATCTTTACTAACAATAATTCTTATTTTTCAAGCATATTTTTGTTTAATATGAAGAATATATAATATTAATGCATGCTCAAATGTTTCTATAAAATTTATAAAAAAAATCTATATTTTTATTTTTTATTATTTATTTATGAGATAATAATAAAAATTAAAAATTACTTATTTACCAAGAGGAAAGGCAATTCCAATATATATATATATATATATATATATATATATATATATAT